TTGGTAATGTCAATAAATGAGGTTCTTTTGTGATTTTTAAGATAGGCTCTAAAAGTTTGTTTCTGATCTTATATTTTTTAATTGCTCATTATTTTTAAACCAGATTTCCTACAACTTCTCCACTTAAAACTCTTCCACGAAGGCATCCAGAATTGAGAAAAAACAGCATAGAGAACTTTTCCAAAGATAAAGATAGTATTTTTAAATTACGAAACTTATCTCGTAGAACTCCTAAAAAGCATGGATTACGTTTCTCTCAGGTAAAACATCCTTTTACTAGTCACTAGTTTAAATATAATTACCATGTGCTTAATAATAGAATCATTAAAAGTAGGTGATATATTAATATTTAAAGACAATAGTGAAATCTCCTAACCTATATTACATTCTAATAGTGTATGTGTATAATTGTTTGGAACCCATAGAAACTATGATAAAAATGGTAGTAAGACATATTTGAAAATGGTATATAAATACCATTATATAAATATATAAATAATTCCAGTGTGTTTTGTTTTAGATCGATTTGAAAATATTGTGGATAGTCGCAAAACCAAAATCTCCATTACCATATGTTATATTATTTCTTCAGAAAACACTTACCTTATAACTGATGGACTACATTAATAGATTGGACAGATATTAATAGAATTACTAAGTATTAGCAGTGGTGTCTGTTCAATATTTTCTTAGTTTGAGCATAACAGATTTAACCAAAATAATTCTTGTTTCAGGAAAATACAGAGAAAATAAAGCACGCAATAATCAACGAAGATCAAGAAAATTTAGTTGATGATAGAGAAATAAGCCAGGAAGATGTTGAAGAAGTGTGGCGCTGCATTATTCTGATCTAGTAAGATAAAAATAAGTTTAATAAAGTTCCTGAAATGTTTCAATTATTAATTTGACATTTTGATCAAAATATGCAAATGAATAAGAACAGATTAATTCTCAAAGCTTAGAATTTATATATGTTTCTTAATTTATGCTCTCGCTATAACTCTAGTATAGTGGAAATAGAATGTTTCAGTGTGATTTGCTTTTTTCTCTGTATCAACATTATGGCCATAGTTTGGGGTATATACTAAAATCCTTCAAAAGGTATTGAGATAAATATATTTGAAAGTGGATACTAAATATAAACCTTAGAAGTTTGGTTTAAAGAAAAATAAAATATTCTGATGGCTTTGTTTGTTAGCCAGTCATACTCATTAGTATGTATGATCTATCCTGCTTATTTTATGAAGAAAAAAAGATTTTATATTCTTTCTCCTATTTAGCCTGCAAACTATTTTAGGTGTGCCATCGCTAGAAGAAGTCATAAATCCAAGACAAGTAATTCCTCAATATATAATGTACAACATGGCCAATACAAGTAAACATGGAGTTGTCGTACTACAAGACAAATCAGGTTGGTATTAATAAAAGAAATTGGAATTTTTTCATACTTGCTAACTAAGGTTACAGCTATAAGGGGGTGCAGAGAGGCCCAAATGTAGAAAGTAAAATACTTTCATTGAGGGGGAGCATCAGAGGATGTATTGTTTTATCGTAATAGGTACTTTAGTAATAACAGTGAAATAAATTTTAGGTGAGTATTATTCATGCTATTGTAAGAAATATTTTAGCTGCTAAGGTAGATTCATGCGTGATTTTAACAAAATGACAGGGTTAAACATTGAAAAGGTATACAAGTATAATAAAAACTATTGATTAACCACATTTTTATTGGGAGCCTACAACATGTCAGGCATTGTGTTAAAGATTTAGTGATAAACAAGACAGAACATGAAGGTCCATGCCTTCATGAGGCTTACATGACCAGTTACATACAGATTTATAGGGGTCAAAACATATATATGCAAAACCACAGTAACACACAATAAAACAAGCCCAGACTCTCAAGATGAGAATTCTAAAGGGCACTGGCTTTTTTGTATTTTGTATATTTATATTTATATTTATATTTATATTTATATTGATTTAAGATATAGGTAGGAAAATCAGAGAATTCAATCTAGATACATTTCTTATAATCTAAGCTTTTTAATGTATCAATAAATCTCTCAGAATGTTCACTCAATTTTTTGTAATAAATTACTATCTATAGAATTAACTGACATGTACTTTGGGTTTCTTTCTATGGGCAAGAACTTTGAGTTTTTAATTGCAGGAACAATATGTAAATGTCAAAACTGACGAGTTTGCTATGTGGCATATGCACGTGGCTTCAGACCAGTCCCTTCTTCCATTACCTAAAATAACATACTTAATAGTATGTGCTCTCATTTAAGATTTCCATTCTCTGTAACCATAAACTTTTCAAACCAAGTATATTCATGGTTTAGGTGTTTGTGTCAAAAAACTGCAGGTTAGCAGCAATTGAAAGACTTCAAGCAAGCCCTGCTGTAAAAGCACCCTAACATTCAGATAGTTCATTTCAATCATAGGTCTCACCCAAATCAGTAATATTCAAATAGCGTAGCAATAGACAGGACAGAAACAGGGACGAAGAGAAGATAAAAATGAATGTTGAGTTCATATCTGAACACTCCCTGAAAATAATTAATCCTTGATTTCGAGTTAACTAATTGTTTTATGTAATGTGAATAGAGTCAAACTCAAGATCTCTATAACTTTTTCAAACTTTTATATTTTAAAATACTGACTTGACCCTATGTCTTATTAAACATGTAACAGTTTTTAATCCTAGTAATACACATGTGTGAATACATGTATGTATGTATATATAATTACATGTAAATATGAAATTTTAAAATATATTACCATAGAAGTTGTGTGATTTACTAAACAATATTAATTTTTTTTGTGTGTAGATGACCTTCCTCACTGGGTATTATCTGCCATGAAGTGCCTAGCAAATTGTAAGTTAAACAAAATATATGTGTATATATGTTTTATATTGATATTATTTAACAAAAAAACAAAAATTTTTTAAATAATTTATAAAAGTCTTGATAAAATTAAAGTATATTATTTCTCTTGATGTTTAAATGAAAGTCGAGTAAAACTGATTACATTATGGAGGACTTAACTTTTTCTATGTAGAAGATAATTTTTTAATTTAAGCCCATCATATATGGCTCAGTTCACATAAATCATAAAATCATAAGCTAGAGGATCTCAAAGGATTTTTAGGTAAAATCTACACTAATTGCCTCAGTAAGGTACAGAGTTCATGTGACAGCTTGTAAGTGGAAAAGTTTCAACCAGAAATGAAGTCTCACAAAGCCCATTTCTGCCTCTTTGCCATCGTACATGGTTTCAACATTCAAGTTGCTTTATAACATGCTTCTATTCCACTAATGGACGTTGATGTTTATGAAAAAAAAGATCATTTTTTACTAATTAGCAAATTTTTTTTAGCATTTCATTGATCAAGCTTTTCCATAGTGATCAGTGATAATTGATTTTTATAACTTAAGATGCCAGTTCAAGTGCAAAACCCTAATTGCTTTCAAAAATAATTTTTAAAATGTACAAAGGAATAGTTTTCTAAATCATCAAATGGTAAATTATATTTTAATAATTTTAGTTACAAATATAGTTTTCTGGTTCTTAGAAAATTAGTATTTTCTAAAATACTAATGGGGTTTTATTAAATGTTCAGGATACATTTATATTCCTTTGTTGTCCACTGGGTGTCAATATGACAAAATGGCATAGAACAAATAGTGATAAAATCAATAATGTAAGTTTACAGAAATGTTTTATGTATCAAATTAAGGAAAAGATCTTGGTCATAAGCTTAAGACTTTTGAATTTCTCTTTCTACCTTTTCTAACTGCCCTTCTCTTTCTTTCTTTGGCTCATGGTTAGCAATTCATATAAGCGTACTGTACAGGGATTTCTCTGACATCCTGTCTTTAGGGATTTGTGTCTTCCCAGTTCGTGATACACCTGAATGATACCAAATATATAACTTACTGGATTCAAATTTAACAACAACAATGTATTTAGCCAGAGGTAGTATTAAGACTTTTACTTTACTTGCTATTCAATCCCCCATAGTACTCCTGTGAGGTGTAGGAATCAGTAATCAGTATACCATCCCCAATTTTTTTTCCAGTGGAGAAAGCTAAGCCTTAGAGAGTTTTCTGTTAATAGAAAGGAATTAGAGCTCAAACCTAGATTCTCTAAGTTCTATAATTTTAATTGCAGTAAAACATATATTTTCTGTCTTAGAAAACTTTCTAATGATTATCAAATCTTTTATTCTACATACTGAGAATGTTTCTTATATCCTTATAAAACTATTTTGTACTACATAAAACCCATAGTAGCCTTTAACACATTGACTGCTACACTAGAAAAAAAATATTTTACTTGCGGCCATGCTGTTTTATTATGAAAATAGAATAAAAACTTCAAAAACAAATGATCTTTCTAATTTAATGAAAAATTTGTTATTTTTTTGT